AGAAAGGAACAGGTGCTAGAAATGAGACTTGGGGCGCTTAGCTTTTAGACGTTGGGGAAACAAGAGGAAACCAGCCAAGGACACTAGGCAGTGGCCAGTGACACAGGAGGAAACCCAGAGACACTGCACAATGGTTTCAAGAAAATGATCATTTTGCAGAAGCCAAAGACTTGCTGGTCACAAGCACGCCTGTCCTGTTCCTCTACAGAACACGTACATGGGCTACCTGGACTACCGGAAGAAGACCATTAAAGACCTTGGCATAAGCCCCAGCACGTGCTCTTTCAACCCCGGGGTGATTGTTGCCAACATGACGGAATGGAAGCATCAGCGCATCACCAGGCAACTGGAGAAGTGGATGCAAAAAAACGTGGAGTGCGTGCAGACCCCTCCACCGCTTCTGTGCTCGGGAACAGAATTATTCAACTGATCTTCTATGCATAGCTCAGGAGTGAGAAATATTTTATAGACATCTTAGGTCAGATTTTCTCAGAAAAGGGGGCAGTAGATGGAAATTTATTCTCAAATAATACATCAGAGGAAGCGAGATCCTGCAGAATCCCATTATACATTCTTTCTAAGAAATTGTTGTTTAACAAGGTGACTTTAAATCTCCTTCCAGATCCTAGGGAATATTTCCCAGTGAAAATCACTTATCTTAGTTGTTTTTTACTGGAGAAAAATCATATAAATCTTACAAATCTCCTTTATAGGTTTGTTCTTAGGAATTATTTTAGGAAGTCAACTTTCTTAGGGTTGAATTTTCTTACACAGATCATTTTTCATTACTGAAGTTTTGAACAAAGACTAACACTGCTAACACCACCACTATGACCATATCACTGCATTCCCTTTCCTGCTTTTATTCTGGGTATTTTAAATGCCATCATAACCTTGAATTTGTAGACTTACTCTGAAGGATGGAGGATCGGAATTTGATCTTCTATGTTTATCATTAAAAAGCCCAAGAATTAAAATGGCAAAATATTAACGCTGTGAAACTAGGCGAAGTACGTGGAAGTTCACAGTGTTCTACTTACAATTTTGTGTAGGTGTGACAATTTTCAAAATATGAAGACTATAGTCTTATTTAAATAGTGAGAGAGACTGTTTTGCATCTTTTAACTTTACTAGATTCTACTTTATCGGAGTCTGTGGGGCTCCAGGGCAAATGTTGCCTTTCCGGTCCTCTTCTTAGGGAAAATCTCTACAGCAGCTCCCTGGGAGGAGGGGTGGCCACCTCGCCGATGCTGATTGTGTTCCACGGGAAATACTCCACAATCAACCCCCTCTGGCACATAAGGCACCTGGGTAAGTACTTTAGGAAAACAACAGGAATGTGCATTTTATAGACTCAGTGAGCACCAAAGCCTGGGAAGCATGGTATCGCACCAGCTTCCTCAATTCAAATCCTCCAGGCGACCTTGGGGATTACCTCAGACTCATTTAACCTTCATTGCTCAGATTTGCAAACGTCGCTGATACAAATAGCCTACCTGAGAGGTGTGCTTCTAAGGAATTCCTGAAAAGCAATTATACTCATGCTTGGCAAGTACACAGTAGGAGCAAGATAAGCATCAACTATTGTTAAAGCTTTCGCTGTCAAAACATTTCCACATGTCTTTATTGTACTCTTGCAGTAGCCTATGGTGGACAAAACCAAATGAATTAGCATAATGGCTTATGATGCATTTATATAATTGGCAATGTATCTTTTAAAAGGAAGTTACTGATTGTGTATGGTGTGAGTCCCTTTGCGGTCTTTTATTCACTCTTCACTACAGGAGGGCAGGCTCTAGGGTGCGGGTTGGAAGCCCAACTCTGCTACTACCTTGGATTGGGGGCAAGTTACTCAACCTCTCTTAAGTTTTTTCATTTGTAACTGAAGCTAACAGAACCTTATCAAGCTTTTCCACAAACAATCAGTTACCTACTCCATGTAAATTGCTTAGCAGAGCCAGGCACAGAGACATTCACATTCACGCAAACACATGGCCACAGCCCATTAGCCGCGAAACCACTGAGCCAGACCTTTTCAGAAACTGAGATGGGCTTTGAATTTTTGAAAATTGAAGTGGTGCACATACTTATGTTATGCAATACCCTAAGTGGAATCTAGGTTTTGCTGCCAAAGAATTTATTTAAAACCCTTTTGTGTGCAGACATTTTGAGATTATTTTGACATTGGAGACAGTGGATTATGGACTTTACTGAGTGCCCATTACATTTCTAAGCACTGGGCTAAGTTCTGGCGATAAAGGTGAACATCATTTCTAATTCTGGGAACAAGCCTTTAAGGTGGCATTTCCCTTACTCTACCTTGTAGAAGAAAAGCAGACAAAGCTGTGGAAGCTGGGCTCCTGTATCCTCTTACTGGTTCTGTAGAGGCTGCTTCTGCCTCATCACCAGAATCTCCCCCGATTTTCCCTAGCATCTGTGCACACGAACGCGACACAGGGAAGTTCAGGATGCTATTGTTCCGTCTGTCTTGATTCACATTAATGCTGAGTTCACTGTTAGGTCAAATAGCAACATTTCCATGTAATGAATGAACAGAAAACCCCATTAAAGGAGCACGTTTATAAAAAAATGTTCTGTAGGAACAGCTGTGGGGAGCTTTGATCGATAAGATTAGAGTATTTTTATGACCTCAAAATAGAGTTTCAGAATTACGTTTTATGAAATATATAACTTATTGACAAGTAGAAAGGGGCAGAATCTTGCCAAGGGAAAGAAGTCATTTTTCTTTGTAGAACAGAACCTATTCTGTGCTGAGAGTTTTGGAATCAGGGTTGGTCTGCAAAGTAAATCTACACAGTGATCATCTGACAAAACAACCCGGTTTCAGTGTCCCGAAAGCAGAAAGCAATGTAATGCTAATGGGTATTAAGTTTGGGTCTAAACAGAGGCTTAAAGTAATAAAAATTTATGAAACATTTAGCTAAAAGCAAACCTGCGAGCCCCTAGAATCCTTTAGTTACAGAGCTGAGAGATGATGTCCTACTTTGTGGGACTTCTCCCATGAAGGCACCTCTTCCCGAGAGAGCATTTCCTTCGTACAGATTCTTTGGAAGTTGATAATTACTCCAATTATTCCACAACAGCCTGAAACACTGAGCTCCTCTTCCGCAGCTGCCTTCACAGCCATGTTTATGAATAACACAAGACAGGTGTCTGTCCTTTTCTTACATCATATGTTAAACCAGCATATCACAATCCTAGTTACTTGTCCTAGTTACTAATTCACCCTCTTTACTCAATGGACTTCCTGTTGTTTTTCAAAAGTATCAAATTCCCTTCCTTAGAAAAAAATTTAACACCTTAGAGGATATTTTTAAAAGATTTACATTTGCAAGATCTTAATGTACTTCTGGAAGAGATATTCTAAAAATATTCTGAGCAAAGGCAATATTAGGGTAAATGCATAGTCTCTGTGATGACTTAAGAAGGGAATAATATTCAAACAGAGGTAATAGCTGTGTGTTAAAAAGTGGACCTTTTTTCTAGTTGTATTTCATACAGTAAAACTAAAACTAAAGTAAAACGTTGCCACATGGCAGGCAAGTGTAGGAAAACAAGAACTATACATTCTGGGTGGGAGGGAAACTGTTCAAGTTCTTTTGGGGACAATTTGATAATCTCTTATCAAAAGTTAAAAGGCACACACCCTTCCATTCAGCAATTCCACCTACAAGATTTTTATCCTACAGCTTAGAGCAAAGGTTTACAGTTGTTCCTATGGAAAACACAGGACTGGACTCTGTTTCACGCACTCCCAAGTGTAAATGTACCTCTGCCCCAGCCTTATCTGTGTACGTGCACAAGTGCGCAGAGAAGGCTGTGCGTTGTGGTGATGGGCCCAAAACGACCTGCCTGCCCTCCATAAAGAACTCGCTCAATAACCACACGTGCATCCTACGAGTCATTAAAAACAACCCAGTAAATGCACACGTGCTGCTGTGGAAAGTTTCCTAAGAGTGATTTTAAAGGCAAGTTACAGGTAAATTTTAAGAACACACATATAATATGCATGTGTATGTATATATCCAAGGACATAATATATACATGTACTTACATACATACTGGTGTACAGGTGGAATATTACTGAAAGATTTCACGAGAAACTCAAATCATGGTTATTTTGGAGACTTAGGGTGGGTGGTAAACTCTTCCTTGTACACCCTTTAATTTTTATTTTTTTTATAATGAACCTATATTCAAATGTTAATACATTAAGTTTTTCCTTTCTAACAAGCCTATTAATTTTCCTGTAAACATAACAAAGGCTGGAGTCCAGATACGAGATATTCGGAGCACTTCCTGCAGGAAGCAAAGCTACTCCACTGGAGTGGAAGGCACAAGCCCTGGGACTTCTCCAGTGCCCACACCGACCTCTGGGAAAGCTGGTTTGTTCCAGACCCCGCGGGGATATTCAAACTCCATCACCACGACAGCTGATAGAACTCGGCAAACTTTCCATGTTGTCTGAGTAAAAACGTGGAATTGGCCACTCGTAACCTACTATGACATCACTCTTCAGGAACGGTATCTTCGATGTGAATGACGCACAAGGTGAAAACCAGAGACCGCTGTGTGCAGCTAGGAAGTCGGGTCCCCTCGGGGGGGACCCGACTTCCGTGCAAGTGGTAATGATGGAAATCAAAATTATGTGAGTGAAACATAGTGGTGGAAAGAAAGAAAGAAACCCAACTGGGTTCCAGCAGTCAATCTGCTTAACTCAGTGACAATTATACAAAATTAAAAAAATTTTCTAAATGTATTTTTCACACGGAGGTATTTTTTAGCAGGTTGCCCATCTTGTCTTTTGTATTACATTTAAATGTGAATGTCTGAAAAAAAATAAAATAATCATAGATTTTGAAATGATTTTCATTGTAGAATATAGTATCCTATATAGTAAATATAATAGGTGGTAAACTGATCTCAGGTTTAAAGGAGGAAAGAATACCAGTGAGTCTTGCTACAGAAAAGCCTGTAAGTTAATCATTCTTAATATTTTTTTATTGTAAAAACCATCAGACTTTCAAGGGAATTTAAAAACTTTTTCATTGTTATTTAATGAAAAAGTCTTACACTGTCATGTATGGGATGTGTCACCATTTACTACTCGTCTGTCATATTTAATGAAAAACACCATTGTTGTATGCTTGGAAAACTCTCAAACCCATTCTCCAGTGAGTGTCCATAATTTAAAGGGTATTTCTCCACTTAAATAAAAACCAATCTATTGTAAGGCTACACATTATTATTTACCAAAGCAATACCTAGTCACATGCTTTACATAGTCCCGTGAAAAAATAACTCCATTGTTCCTAATCCCTGATGCGAGGCACTTCCAAGCACCTGCACAAACATCCATGTAAACAGCAGTACAGTACAGGATTTAAATAACATGAACGACTTTACACGGCTTGATCTAGACTAAAGGAAAATAAAATCCATCAAAGCCACAGCTACAAAGCACGTTCAGATTTACAACAAGGATTTGTTTCTCTTATTGAGAAAAAAAGAGGCCATACGATCTTTTAGGGGAAAAAAGACACCTGATAAACATTTCATATTGAAAAGCATGCTCCTTGGGTATAAGTGACCAGGAATCAATGCACGTGGCATTTCCAAGTCCCCGGCTTTGTATCTGCCAGGCCTAGCCACCCGGACTATTTGTAGCACCTTGGAGAACGCATTAGAAAACCACAAAGGTACGTTACTTCAGAACAACCTTGCCATAAGGTTACCTCAGTCCACGGTAGCAAAGGGCAATGATGCAGAGGGAGAATTTTTAAAATTACTGGCTTGTTACATTTAACTAGTGAAAAAGTTCTATATTATTTATATCAGTACATCTCATGTACATAAAGCACCAGTTTAAATAAGGTCACCGAACACCTTCAGCTTCTGGTTTGTTGCTCAGCCTGAAGGTGCATTTTTCATCACGATCTACGTTACATCCTTTAAGCCAAGGAGGATAAAATTCAAATGGTGATGGATACGGACAGAGAAGCTCAGCTCCTTCCCCGTCAAATGTAAGTCTGTCAAGTAAAACACAGAGGCGGCGACTATTTTAAAAGGCCTGCTGCATCCTCTGGAGGTCACCGTCCCAGCAGCATGGTTCCTGCCTGTTAGAGGATTAACACACCGGGTGCGGAGGCTGAAGCAGGGGTCCACGCCCTGCCAGGCAAGGCCACCCTTTACATCTGCACGAGTAAGCAACTCTCACAATCAATCACCACCGGTAAAGAGGCCCGAGCGTGAACGCCACTCCACGGAGGCTTAACTTCTCGTGAAAATCCACACACCTGCCTCGTTCCAGGTGGTAATTCTTATTATTAGTATGCCCTTCTCAGGCATAAAAGGGAGAACGGTGTATCTAGATTTATGCTAATAATCTAATATAAATATTCAGGCTGCTGCATTTTAAAATGACAGATACAAAGTGACTCCCGAAAGAACATTAATTTCCTTATAAAAGAAAAAGGCTTTATAAAATGCTGGAATGATGGTTAATTCAAATACAAAAACTCATAAAAAAAAACCCCTACACTTTCCTTCTAAACTACTTAGGTTCATACAGTTGACTCTACCACACAACTGTACCATGACTACATCACCAGGGTAAAACGCCAACAAAATACTTCAGTTAGCAAACTGAGGGCGGCTTCTTGACAGCTGCATTAAAACTGCAGCCTTTAAGCAGAGCTGAGAAGCGCCGTCCTTAGGAGCAGGGGCTTTCTCCCCCCTGTTCGTGCGTCCCACAGTGATTGTTAATGGAAGGAATCTGGTCTGTGAAGGACTGGTCCATCCACTGGCCGTTTGGGACATCACTGAAAGTCGACTCTCCGCCGCCAGCCACTGTGGGGAAGGGGGAGAAGGTTAGTTGGTTCCGTTTGAAAGCTTTAAATGATCGAATTAGGAGATTTAAGTCTCCAGTGAAGGACAACTGGTGTTAAAAGAGTTCAGCGAGCTTCTGGAATACACTAAGTTTCTGTTCTATTTTCGGATACAGGACTACTAAACCCTCATTTGTTATTCATGGAGGAAAATGCTGCTAAGATGACTTATTGAAGTTAATGACAAAGAGAATGAGCTGGAAGTTTGTGCAGTTAAACATTAAATAACCATCCCATTTTCCCTATAAGTCACTAAGCATATTTTTATATTGTAATTCCCATTCTTCAATAATTTACGTTTTAAAAAGAGCTTTCCCTCGCAATGCTGACAAAAGCCGATCCTTGAGAGCACACACCCAGGAAGAGGAACATACTTAGCCCGTTCGAAGAGAAGCTGCAAGGCTCACTGCTGCACGGATTCGCACTGTAAGCACCACCGTACGCTGCTTCGTAACCTGGGTCGTATTTTTCTTCCTTAACGGCCATCTTCTTTGCATCCTCTGTGAGGAGAGGGAAAGGATTTAAAACTGATTTTGTACGAGAATTTTTTTAAATAGCTTTATTTGGAAATCACAATATTATTTTTCTTGAATGTTCATGTATACTGAGATACATCTTTTTCACTTTTCATAACATATACCACACTAACTCATAAGAACTGTTAAAGCCTGTAAGATTTAATTTGAGGTGGGTTACAATGCTTCTTACGGCCTCAACGTCTGTAGGAGCACCGGATTAGATGGAAGCCGTTCGTAAAAGGAGATTTTAACAGTGACTAATACCCATTATCAGCACTCGGCCGCATAGATAACTGTTTTCCCTTCTACTGCTGTTAAATCACAGCAGACTTTCTGCACTGCGTACGTACGCACGGAACGACAACGAGCAGCAATGACGGGGACTCACCTTGGGCAAGCTGCAGGTCAAATGTATACTGCACCTCTTGAACATCTGTGTTTCGTTCAATGCCTTTCAACTGATCTCTTAAGTCTTTCAGCTTAATGTAGTAATGCACTTTGTCCTGGGCTCGCGGGAACTGAGCGCACCTGGCACTGGAAGACGGCATCACGTAGCAGAGCTGGAACCACACAATTTTACAGTTACGGAAATCCTGTAATTCTATCGGATCCACTCCTCTCGCGACTAGAAAATTTGTCTTTCTTTGGGCTAATAACCTGATACCACATACCAATATATGCGAAATCAATAAAAATAGTTGTGTTCCAGTGCAAATTTGTAATATTTACATATTACAAAGTCAATAAATCAAAACCAAGGCAGCTACCCGCCATGTTCATCAATCCATTAACAGTCTTTTTTCTTCAATAGTAAACACGTGTTCACAGTTGCAAAGGTCGAAAAAGGATGGACGTCTTCAGTGCAGCCTCCCTGTCCAGCTCTTGTCTCTGTCCACCTGGCACCCTTCTTCCAGGGCCATCAAGGTCACTAGTCGCAGCGGGAGGCCACGACTGTACAATAAAATGTGTCTGGATAAATATTCTCCCTTACCCCTTCTAAAACACACACACACACACACACACACACACTTGGTAACATGGTCTATTCTCCATCCTGCACCTTGCTTTTGATATAACTCTGTATCAGAGTAAAAAGAGCTTCCGTTTTCATAAATGTGTGGTGCTTTTCATATGTATTTACCCAGAGTCCAACTGTCGGCATGTATGCTGTTTCCAATCTTTTGATATTGTAAGCTGTGAAAAACCTTGTACATATTTTATTTAGAATATGTGTGCGTGTATCTGTTGGTAAGTTCCTACAAGTGGAGGAGGGTATCTGGACGGTGGCACAAACTCCCTTCACAGAGCACGACTCTGACACACGGAAGAGTGAGACTGCCGCGTCACGAGCTTGCTGGGTCCAGTTTTTGCTGTTTTTAAATCGGCCTCCTTACCATGTACTATGGAAAAAAGCATTATTTACTTGTTTTGTTTACAAGGCATTGATATGTCGGTACAAATGCTACCAGGTTTGGCAATAGCACCTTCTCCAATCTCAAAATATCCCTCAATTAAAGAGATCCATAAACTTGAAAAAGTAGGTATTTTGTATTTCAAAGTTGAATCAGTAGCCTTATCAATAACTGCATATTTTATGATAGAGAATAAAATGTAAACAAAATAAACGTACTCACAGCTCATTATAAGAGCTAAAACGACCTGCCATGACGTGATTTGAGGTCACTGACTATTGCACGGCTATAATCACACAGCCATGAGCCGCACACATGTCAGGGACAATAATGCAGAGCTCGTTAAGAAACAGTGAACTCAAGGCAGGGGTGGAGGTGGGAGGGAGGTGGGGAGACCTGGGGGATGGGCTGGGATGGGAGTACAGGGCAGGAAACGGTACTTGATCAACAATTAAAATGAAAAAACTAAAAAAAAAAAAAAAAAAAAGAAACAGCGAACTCACACATACAATTTTACCCACGAGGACAGGGTAGGTAGGCCTCTGTTTGGAGAACGGTCTGTGCTACAACCCACTCTGTCAATCACATATTTACTAGAAGTTAAACGCCCCAGACAGGTGGCGGAAACTTTATTCTAAGGTCTCCAAAAACACCTGACAGCACACTGGCTTCTCATTTAAAATGCCGTCTATAACACACGGGTTTGTGCATATGTATTGTTTTCTTCTAAAGTTGTAAACAAAACTGAAAACTATATTTAAGAAGCATGGTTTGAACCAATGTCTGCAGAAGCGCTGCAGAAATGGCAGAGTTTGAAGACCACTGAGTTATTTCATGCCTCCACGTGTCAGACGACAGTGCCCGGAGCCAGTCATATTGGCTGGGTGTGTCTGCAACCGGCCTGCACCATTCACATGGCTCTCGAATGCAAGTGCAGCAATTTCCGTTGTACTGACCAGAATTCCTACCTTTTCATCTTTGTTTCACAAGTAAGTAAGGGCTCACTCACTTGAATTTGATAAGAATATGCCATTAAATAGATTCTGAATATAGTATGTGAGCCAGCTCCTCTCAATTTTTAGCCAAATAACATAACACCACTGAGGCATTTATGTGATAAATGTTTCTTTGGAAAAAGAAAACAAAACTATATCAGCATCTAAATTAATTTATAACCATTAGTTCAAGCTGATATATAGATACTATTAAAAAATAGTGTTTTCTTTTCATGGGAAAATTTATTTAAACAAATAGAATAAATAAAAAAACAAACTAGCTAAGAAAAATTCATATTTAGCTGATTTACAAATGTAATTTTAACTACTTACAGTTTCTGTGTCTGGAATCTTATGAGGTTGAAGTCCAAATTCTAAGTTCTTAACCTTTACTCCAAAAACTTCTTTACTAAAAATTTCATAAATACCTAAAATGAAAGACAAACATATTTACATTGCCCATAATGTTACCAAGGAAAAAAGGTAAAATTAAAAGTAAATCTTACATTTTCCATTAAACACTGCTATTCGTGGCTGATATTTCTGTAATTTCTGTACTAGAATACGTCCTCCTTCACGAAATTCTTTACTAAAATTAAATTAAAAAGTCATCAAAATATAAGTATGGCAATTATTTATAATATGCTAAGTTCAGACAGTGTTCAGTGAAAGAGCCATTCGCACACTGCTTGTTAGGTTCGGCTTGCCCTAGACACATACAGAATCCCGAGTGTGTGAGGCACCAGTGTGGGCGGAGTCCTAGCCTATAGAAGCACACACTTTGCAATTACCTGGAGAGGTCCTTGCTTCCCGGGGTTGTCCTTTCCACCATATTGGTGAATCCGATACCATACTTCCCTGGTAAAGTGTGATCATCCATATGGCTCAGCTGGACCTCACTCAGTCCCGACATAAAGAGACACTTCCCTGTGAAAGAGGGTTTAGTTTATTTCCACAGATGGTCAAAGGTTTCTGCCCTACAGACTGATGTGGGAGTCTGTATCCTGTCCTTGAAATTAAAAAAAAAACAAAAAAACAGATTATAACATCAGCCAAATACCTTATTAAACAATTTACCATATCCTAGGTACTGCGCTAAGCCCTTTGCATGTATGGCCTCATTTAATCACTGTAAGTATCTCATGAGATAATTACCATTATTATTTCCTTTTCATACGGGGGGTTAAGGTAAATGTCTGTTGAGAATACACAGCCAGTCAGTATAAGACACTCTGAAACCGTTCTTCTTTTTAATACCTGGTAATATCACCACCTGCCCCTGGAATACCTCAAACAGATAAACATACATCGATGGACTCAGAACATTCGAACACCTGCACAGTGGAGAAAGTTAAAAGTTCCAAATTCTCTAGAGCAGGGGGGAGGGCTGGGTGGAAGAGGGCAAAGGGGGAAAAACTGGGACAACTGTAACAGAGTAACAATAAAAAACTTTAAAATAAATAAGCAATAAAATAATGGAGACAATATGCTGTTCATTCCAAAAACATACTATTGTCATTTACCCTGAATGTTTTTCAAGTTAGTCTCAGATAATCAACTACTGTTTTCTGAAGGCCCCCACACAGCAAGCCTGGTTCTGCGAGGCTGTGCTCCGTAAAACGACTTATACGCCTGACAATTACAAGAGTAGTAACGGTTTTAAAGCTCAGTCTACAAGCACAAAGACTATTTCTGCTAGATACAAATCTCTAATCACGGCACTTCTTAGCGTGACTGCTGATGGGCAAGCCTTCATGTCTCCTAGGAAACACGATCAGCAGAAACTTGGATGGGTCAGCACTCCGCCTGCACTGGCCCAGCGATGTTCAATAGTCGCTATGTCTGTAGATAGCAACTAAAAAGAAATCTTTAAACAAAGTAGTAAAGCTAAGAGAAAGTACTCCTTTTCATGCTCCTCTAACTCTCAGAAGCCAAAATGTTAACCAGTCATTCTGTATACACAAAAAGAAAACATGTATGTACATTTACATATATATACAATCTTTTTATTAAAAACACAATTTGGTTTTTTTAATAAAGCTAAAATATGAACAAAGATATCTAGTTTAAAAGCAAAATGATAATAAAAGAGTGACCACTCACAAAAATGGTTTCCGGGTCCCGGGTAATGGTGCCCTTTGTAAGCAGCCATCAGTCCTGGGTTGATGCCGATCTGAAAACAAGTGCATGCATTTAGTGGGGTTCAGGCCTTACGGCTCCTGTGGAGGAGTGGACAAAACTGCACTTATTCAAATAAAATTTTAATTTGGCATTATAAACAGTATCACTTACTAATTCCCTAACCTTGACTTGAAAAAAGTTACTCCATTCTGAGAAGAGAAATTTCCTTTATGTTGGAAGTTTTGTTGTTGTTTTTAAAAACCAGTTTTATTCCCTCGTTTCTCCGGGCCCCTACTCCCACCCGCCTGGGCTGGGAAGAAAGATCTGGAGCAATCAGTCAACCGGTGCCAGGTCCAGGCACACGTCTGCTTGTCAATTCTCAACTTTTATCTCCCTCCGTATCATCCACACAGCTGTCTGCACGCTGATGTTTCTTACAAGTGCAGACAAAAATCAAAGTTCAAAATCAATGTTATCATTTATGGAGAACTCCCAGATGTCATGCAATTTAGGGAATTGCATGGATTATTTAACTGAATTGCACCCCTGTGCGGGAGGTACTATTATCAGCCCTGTTGCACCAGTGAGGAAACTGGTGCTCAGAAAGGCTAAGGCCTGTCTAGGGTCAAACCCATGAGGCAGGATCGGGAACCAGGCAGCCCCATGTGGGATTCCACCTGCTTACACACTCCCAAATAACATGACCTTGTGAAGGTGACGCCGTGCACGACCAAAAGGGTTCTCAGAAATGTTCCTTTCCAGCAAAATTATTTGCATGGATAGAGTCAGGTTAATCCACCAATACTAGTTACAAAACCAAATGAGGACAAAAGTCCTTACGATCACAATGTCCAGGTTGAAGGTCAAAATATCCGGCAGAGTCTTGGTCAGAAGTTCAGCTTCTGAAACACCATTAAAGCGGTCAACTTTTCTTTTCACTTTAAATGTGTCTGTAATTTTTTCTTGCTTTTCTTTTGATTTTGTGGACTTGGCAGACTTTTTGGCCTCAGCAGGTTTTTTGGGTTCCACTGGTGTTTTTGGCTGTGTTGTTTTTCTTTTCCTTCCCCTTCGAGTCTCTGAAACACAATGAGTTCCAGGATATGATGCAGAAAACCGTAATTGCAAACTTCAGGCAGCTTTCCCAGAAAAGTCACCCCGTCAGCATTCCTTGGATCTTACTCTTCTATTTCCCAGCATCGGTCTCTACAGTACCCTCCCCTTGTTTCACCCTGGGACTGGGTTCATGTGGCCCCATCCAGACTCTCCTTCCTCCGCTGGATCTTCCTGAGAGGAAACCTCCGCAATAATCACGGACTGATTTTTCGCACAATCTTATCTGGCATCTTGGCCTCCCCCATAGATACAAAGTCTCTATGTACTATTTTACAAGAATTTTAAATGTCAATATATGAACAGTTAAGTAAACAAACGAAAGAGTAAATAGATAGCAAAACAGAGGGGAGAGGAAACATTTACTCCAATTTCCTCATAATTCTGGCAGTAGAGAGCCTCAAATGGCTTATGGGCTTGTTTTAGAGATTGTGAGTGGGTATGCTGTTCCACACACAACCAGAAAGGTAATTTTAGAGGTACTGAGGATGAAATCTCTGGCTGGCAGTATTTTTTCAAAAGGCAAGACCAGGGACCCGACCTCAGGACCTAAAGCAGTTTGTCAGTCTTAGCACTATGCACATCTTAACTTAAAGTGAATAATTTTCAGTGGTGGGGCCCTGTCCTGTATATTACAGAACAGTTAACATTCCATATTCAACGGCAACCTTGGTGTGTGCCCACTAGAGGCCAGTAGCACCCTGCCAGTCATGACAACTAAAGGTGTCTCCAGATAATGACAAATGTCGCTAGGGGCCAAAATCACCTCCGGCCACAAACCACTGCCCCAAAGTATCCCACAGGAAGCCTTGCTTTTCTTACCCTTAGTTCTTTAACATCACTTACAATTTCCCAGGCTCCTACCCCACGCTCCTACGGTTTGGTGTCTCTCCGCTCTGGCCTCCCATCCTTCCTTTCCACTCCCAGGCCAAGGGATCTGCCTCCACCGGCTTATACCTGGGACAGTCTCGTCTGCCTGCCCAGAAACACGCTATCACCAATGCCCTGGAGTGCGGCGTGCTCCTGGAACCATAAACTAGAACTCTGGGCACACCTCTCACACAATACTCCTGCCTTCTCTCCACTCCCTGACCCAGATCTATTCCCCTCTCTTCCAGTTCTCTATCTTGGTGAATGGTACCCCCTTCATCCTTCCACTGCCCGGGAGTTACTTCCAGGTTTCTCTTTCTCCCTCATCCCTGCATGAAAGCTGTTTACCGTGGCCAGGTAATCACATAATTCTGCCTCCTGAGTAGTTCCTAGTTCTGTCCTTTCCCACCCCTTCAGCTCCTCTGTATTTCGTCCCCAGATTATTCAGAGAGTCTCTAACACACTCCTTGTTTCCAAGTTCTGCTTGCTCTCTATGATCTATCGTCTATAATACTTGCAGACTGATATTTTTACTTTATTGATTGACTGATTGGTTGAATTTATTAGGGGTGACATTGGCTACTAAAATTATATAGATTTCAGGTATACAGTACCAGGCTGATCTTTTTATTTTTTTAAAGATTTATTTATTTATTTATTTATAGAGAGATGAGAAGGGAGGGAGAAAGAGAGGGAGAAAAACATTAAAACATCGATGTATGAGAGAAACGTCAGTCGGCTGCCTCTCGCATGCCTCCAACTTGGGACCTGGCCCGCAACCCAGACCAGGAATCGAACCAGTGACCTTTCAGTTCTGAGGCCAGTGCTCAACCCACTGAGCCACAGCAGTCAGGGCCAGGCTGATATTTTCACATGCCATTATACTAAAGTCACTCTTTGCTTACATTCTCTCAACACTCCCTACTGTCTGTAGGATAGGATGTATTGGGGTGGCCAAAAGTTCATTTTTTTTCTTTAAGATGACTCTAGTAGCACTCATTGTCTTTAAGTTTATTCAAAACATTTCTGTTGGATTGTATTGTGACAGCTGTCATATTGGCATGCATTAAAAAATTCAAAATTGGTGAATTTTTGTGTAGCTGTTTTAATATTGAAGATGAAAGAAAAGAAGTGACATTATTGGCATATTGTGCTTTATTATTTCAAAAAAGTAAAAACACAACTGGAACACAAAGAAAGATTTGTGCAGTGTGTAGAAAAGATGCTGTGACTGATCGAACGTGTCAAAAATGGGTTGCAAAGTTTCATGCTGGAGATTTGTCATTGGATGAAGCTCCCTGGTCAGGTAGACCAGGTGAAGTACATAGCAATCAAATCAACACATTAATTGAGAATATCGACATTATACCAGGTGGGAGACAGCCAATATACTCAAAATATCCAAATCAATGAAGTTATTGGTGAAAATAAAAACTGGGTCTTTTACTTCACAGAAAAAAACGTAATGAACTTTTTGGCCAACCTAATACTTTTTTTTTTTTTTTTAAGGTTAATCAAGCCCCACTTGCCCCCTATCCAGGCTCATCTCTCACCATGTCTTTGCTATAACCCAGAATCCAATGATACAGAACCACTGTTTTTTAACCGTTATGCTTCTTCTCACCTGTACTTTGTGCATGCATCTCCCTGAGCCTGCGATTTTCCCCGGCCCATTCTGCACAGGGATAAAGTCTCCTTACTCCTGAGTTTCTGAGCTCTGGGAAGCTGCCTCTGAGCCTCAGTCTGAGTTAGGTGTCCACCCCATGGGCTCTCATGGCATCCTGTGCCCCTCTTCACTGTGCTGTGTGCTGAGGCATGATGTTTGCTTACTTACTGTTTTCCCCTCTTAGATTATGAGATATTCCAGGGCAGGATCCGTGTTCTTTTATTCCCCCAATACTATCACATGCCTGATGCATCTTAAGTACTTGGAACCTAGGTTCAACATTTTGCCCTGGCGGGGGTGGCTCAGTGGATTGAGTGCCGGCCTGAGAATCAAAGGTTGCATGTTTGATTCCCAGTCAGGGCACATGCCTGGATTGTAGGCCATGTTCCCAGTAGGGGGCACCCAAGAGGCAACCACACATTAATGTTTCTTTCCCTCTCTTCCTCCCTTCCCTTCTCTAAAAATAAATAAAATCTTTAAAAAAATTAAATAAATGGGTTAAACATTTTAACACTAAAATAGAACTGAAATTGATCATTAAACCCTTTCTTTAAAAAGTTAGCTGACCCAATAGCTAATTTTCTGTAGTATCCCGGTAAAAGCTACCTTGTGCGGGTTCTTGAGCAGGAGCTGCCTCTGGAACTTCTGCTGGTGTTTGCTGCTCGTTCATAACTTCCGTGTTAGGAGCTTCAGCCATCATTTGTTGAAATGGAAATGTATAAACAGCTTGAGCTTGCTGAAGGGAAAAGCTGAAAGAACATAGGAGGATCAAATCACCCAAGTGCAAGTTTAAATGATCAGCTACAAAAAAAAAAAAGGGTCAGGATCCAAATATTTTGAAGCCAGACAAGTATTTATTTAGAGTTGACAACAGATGCAAAGTGAGGAGAAAGTGCTACTCTCATAGGTACACACTCACCCAACCTTTGCTGAGCGCCTACCAACCAGACACTAATTAACTCTCACACCGTCTAATGATGAGATGTGTCATCAATAAAACTTAACAGTCCTGTCAAGTCAGCCTGTCCTTTCTCTGAAATGAGATCATGGGAATTTTCTAGTGGAGAGACATGAAAGGCCCACAAACTGTTTCTGTGTTCCTACTTTCAGTATTTATTTTTGTCACAAATATTCCCCCCAGTCTAACGCTCCCCCAGCCCAAGTCCCCCCCCCGGGGTTTTGACATAACATTAACACACAACACTCACAACACTGTGTAAGTCAGAGGTGCACAGCATACTCACCGGGTGCACCTGCATATTGCAAAGCGGCTGCCACTACCGCGGCCTCAGTGAACGCCTCCTCCGTGTCACGTAATTACCACTTCTCTTCCATGGTGAGAACACTTAAGATCTATCCTTGTAGCAGCTTTCAAGTAAATAATAGCGCGGTGATACTGTACACTGTTCCCAGACCTTGTTCATCTTTTTTTCACTTTACTGAATTTATTGGGGTGACACAAGTTAATAAAATTACATAGGTTTCAAGTGTACAGTTCTATGATACGTCACCTGTATTGTGTGTTCACCACCCACGTCAGGTCTCCTTCCATCACCATGTATCCCCCCTTTACCCTCTTCTACCTGGAAGCAGGTACATTTTGACCAGCATCTCCCCAATCCCACCCCTCTTCCACACTGATCTAAAGTTCTCTTAAATATGGGGGGAGAGGGGAAGAAAATAAATATATGTTGCAAGTTGAAATAAAATAAAGTTCTCCTTTTGTCTGTTTGGCTGTTCATTCATTCATTCATTCACTGGATCTGTTTTTTTATTGTTGTGGGGTTTTTGGTTTTTCTGCTGCTCAATGAAGACTAGAAATGAATATTTTATGAATGTCTATGAATTTATGCAGAAAAAACACTCTAGATCTTTCTTCTGAACATGATTTAAACTTTGTTCAAAGTGTTGTGTTCGCTGTAAGGAACAGAGACCTTCACAGACAACAATTTCCCAAAAATACGTCCGACGACCATAAACGACTACGCATCAAGCTGTTGCCATCAGCACAAAGCTAGGGAGGACACACATCTTATGAAACTCAAGTCACACTAATGCCAAATCATGCCATATGATACGCAGTAGGAAGAAAAACACCAGGAAATAAAGTGGGTAAGTGCTGCTTAGATCCGGAGAGAAAAGTAGTATGTTCTGTGGCAGGGATACTCTACTTACTGGGTTTCTTTCTCTTCGTGTGTGGAGAAAGATGACAGAGGGTGAGAAAGCAGAAATTCAAAGGCAAACTAGGACACTTTGAGCGGGTCACTTTTATGGCACGGACCTCACAGCCCAATAAAACGGTCGTGGAATGGGCGGCTGACTCGGACACGGGGGGGGCTGCCCGTGGGTGGCTGGACTACCGGCAAAGACAATAGGTTCGCAAAGGAAACCAGAGGCTCAGTCCCATTTCACAATGGACAGATCACCGGAGAGGCTTTTTATTTTATTATTTTTAAAAAGATTTTTAGAGAGGAAGGGAGGGAGAAAGAGAGGGAGAGAAACACTGATAATCTGCCTTTTGTACAGGCCCCGACCCACGACCGAACCCGCAACCCAGGCATGTGCCCGCCTGGGAATCGAGTCAGTGCCCCTCGGTTTTGCTGGATGACGTGCAGCCAAGCCGCACCAGGCAGGGCAGGAGAGGTGTTTTAATTTCAAGCTATCTTTTTAAGGGTAAAAAGATATCTTTTAAGATAAAAAATTATCTTTTTTTTTCATTTCTTTTTTTATTTAGTTATTTTTCAAGTACAGTTTTTTGTCTATTTCTCCCATCCCAGCCCCTTTTAAGGGCTTTTAAAAAGTTACGAATTAGTAAGAAGGACATCAAACTGTACCTGAAGAATTTTATTTCTTTAAATATACTGTTCTCAAATTAAGTTAAAAAGAATAAAAACAATGATTTAGCAAACATTAATATGAGAAAATACTACACAGCACCTAAAAATTAAATGTGTGGACATTCTGTGAAAGCACAGAAAACACTTAATACATGTTTTAATATGGAAAAGAATATAAAAGAGTACTGTAAACTAAGGCTACACATAGAAAAATAAGGCAGCCGAGGACTACAAGTTAAAATATAAAAATGAAGAGAAGTGCTTAAATTGCGCCTGGCACAAAGTAAAACATCCCCCTTTTCCACACTTTCCTTTAGTACTATTTGCAGCTCTTTTCATAAACTGTTTTGGTGTTTTCATAAAACGCTGGGTGTTCAATGTTTACGATTTAAATATTCTAATGAGGAGCTGGGTAAGGCCAGCTCACACTGCAAGATCGTGGGCAGTTTACCCGCTGGAAATCCTAGTCAAACAAACTGATTTCGTGGCCAGGGGGAGTCTCTCCAGAGGCTCACAGCCCCTTTCAGCTGGAATATATGAAAGTAAAGACATGTGGTCACAATAAATGAGTGGCAAAAAAATGCACGAGGTCTGTCCTTAGTCTGTCGCACTGTCAGGACGGCAACCTTGCACCCTCCCTTCCCCAAGCTTCCTGCTACCACTTTCTGAGTCTCACAGACGGGTTCCATTTGGAGTGGAATAACCCCAAACCCAGAACACACACCACTTGCTGTGTCCACTGCGCACCCCCGTTTTTGTGGGGGTCATGCAGGGGGTTATTGGACCCACGGTGTGCAATCGTTCTACCCATGTCATGTGCCTCCTTACCTTTCACTCAGACATGTGGGCAAGAAGGGCACATTCTACACAGCAAGACAGGTGAACCGGGGAGACTCCCATTCACATTCCAAAAGGATTCTGAACCTTAAAAAATAAAATTCCAAAATGTGGCTCCCTTAGCATAGGTAGGGGTCATTAAGGGTCTTGAGAGATTCTGGGGTTTGGAAATCGAAAATATTTTCAAAGTCAGTTAACTAAAGTGAAAAATAATTAAGAAAAATATTGGAGTTTTATTTTATATGTCAATTTTGAAAGAAATCTAGAAATCTATCTATAATATTTAAGTGATACTTTGTGGTAGTTAAATTAGGACAGAAACAAAAAAATAAAGCTATGGAAATAGAACGTAGAAGTTCTAAGGTAACATACTATCTCTGAATGTTTACATTTAGTCTGACTGTCTTACAGCTTCCTAACAGCCAGAAGAAAAGGAAAGTGGGTGGATTACAGCGTTCTTATTGCTTGGCAGAAGCAAGCACGCCCTCTGTACAAAACCCTTCGTGAACTTCAATACTAGAAAACTAAAGGACTGTGGATAATCTCCTTTTCTTTTATCTAATAGTAGTTAAATTTGTAAGCAGCACAAACTTCTTTCATTCTTAATGTAAATACATTTGTTGTATTTATATATGGTAACTGCCACTTTATAACTCAGAATTCTGCAATGTTGGTGAACAATAATTACCTCTGTGTGAGGGGAAGAGCTACAAAATAGCACTTGGTCAAGTCATTCATCCTCGCAGGTGCCTGGTTCCCTCACCATGGAAATGAGAGGTGAGACCCGGTGATTTCTACATTTGTGTATGGAGACAGTGTAGAAAACGGGGCCAGATCTGTTCAGACTCCAGACACATCCCAAAAGAGTTTTCACCTTTTATAACTCTCTGATATCAAAGTTATATAATTTTTAAAAAGACTTTATTTATTTATTTATTTTTAGAGAGGGGAAGGGAGAGAGAAAGAGAAGGAGAGAAACATCAATGTGTGGTTGCCTCTCACACGCCCCCAACTGGGGACCTGGCCCGTAACCCAGGCTTGTGTCCTGACTGGGAATTGAACCAGCGACCCTTTGATTCACAGGCTGGCACTCAACCACTGAGCCACATCAGCCAAGGCTGAATGGTTTTTAATTGATTTTAGAGATGGGAAGGAAGAGAGCGAGCGAACAACACAGATGTCTTGTTCCACTTATTTATGAATTCATTGGTTGCTTCTTGTTTGTGCCCTGACTGGAGGTTGAACCCACAACCTTGGCGTATCAGGATGATGCTCCTACCAAATGAGCTACTTGGTCAGAGAGGTATGAGTGGTTTTATCGCCCCTTGTTCACTTTCCCCTGTTGTGTACCTTTGTCCCTGCCTGCTCTGTGTGCTGCTGTCAACCCCCCTTCCTCTCTCCTAGCGCCCCCCCCCCGAGCACCCCCCTTCTCCTGAACTGCCTGCTCCAAGGGCAGGTTTTGACAGTCGTCTGACACTGACAAAGTGTGTGTCTTCCTGATGAACTGTGTGTTTCCCAACAGTCTTTCTCAAAACGCACACACACACACACACACACACACACACACACACACACACCTGACCAAGGAGTCCAGGAAATTCAGATTTTTCTGTATTTCAAATAACTAATTCTTTAAGGTTTTCCATAAAAGGAACCACTCCAACTTCTTTAATTCACAGCTGTTTTGCACTATTTGAGAGACTGCAGTTGCTCTTTCTAAATACATTTGTCCTAGTCCATTCGGGCCACTACAACGAAACACCACAGACTGAATGAAAAATGAACAAATACCTATTTCTCAGTTTTGGAGGTTGGAAAGGCTACTTTGAGGGCGGCAGCAGATTTGCGGCAGATTTAGCATCTGGCGAGAGCCTGCTTCCTGGCTCCCAGAGGGCTGCCCCCTCCGTGTGTCTTCCTGTGGCAGAAGGGGTGACGGGTCTCTCTGGGGATCTCCTTTATAAGAGCACTAGTCACCTCCTAAAATCCACGCCCCCACACTCCCCACCACCAAATACCATCACACTAGGGATGAGGCTTCAACATAGGAATCTGGAAGGATATAAACATTCATAGCAACATTTTATTATCTTCATTTAAACAAACATATACCACACTGAATATTTACGAAAATATCAATCAGTGCTAAATAATCCAAATGCTCAAGTACAAAGGACTAGTTATACAAACTATGATGGAATACCGTAACTATTTAAGGATTACATTCAATATTGCTTAAGTGGACGTGTGTGTATTCACCACACATTACAGGCTACCTGCTGTGCGCAGTCTACTGGAAACTGTCAACACAAAGACACAGAATAAGCCAGGCCCCCAGTCCATTTAGCTTCTCTTCATGTAGCACGATTTCAAGCTTCCCCACTATTTGCTCATCTTTGGTGATCAGAAGCAAACAAAATAAAAACACTTCAGAAAAAGCCCCATCATCCTGAAACTGAGCAGGGCGATCGACTTCCTCATCCTGGAGACATCCCAGAACAGTACCCTGAGACAACACATCAGCTTTACTGACACTCCCGTACACTGGTGATTCACACTGCGTTCCCCACCAACGGAAACTTTCTCTTTAACACCTCTCCTTCATCTCACATTTGGATCACTGATTTTTTCACACCTAAACAAAGGATGGTGCCTCTTTTTGTAAAAGATGATTCACCATTCCAGCCCGTTGGGATGGATCTGGAGTCTGAGTCAACGCATCAGTTCCACAAACCCATCCCAGAGTTAGGTCACAGATCTCATGATCTCGCCAGCACCCTGAAGTTGTTAAACTTCTGAAGAGAACGAAGTCGGGGTAGAAGCAGACGGCACATCAGTACAGACCTCTCTCCAGCCTGCCCTTAACTTTTTCAGTAGTTAACCAGTTTTGATTTCACCTAATTAGACTGCCATCAATCCATCTTCGTCTTGCTCCCTCCCCCCCACCCCCCATACACAAGTGCTTTGGCACAGTTGTTAGGGAGGCCGCCTTTGAAGCTGCATTGCCTGGGTTCAAACTTCAGCTCTGCCACTTACTAGCTCTGCAGACAAGTTCCTTAAGCATTTTATGTCCCAAATTCCACATCTGTAAAATGAGAATAGCTGCACCTAGTTCATTGGTTATGAGGACTAAATTAGTTAACAGGTGTAAAACACTTAAAACAGCACCTGGTATATACTCAGTTTGCCATGACAATAATAAAACAGCAGGAAATGATGAAATATTTAAGTACCTTCTGCCAACATCCTTCTGATTACTATCTAGTCTAGTGTTCTTATCTAAAAGGGAATGACCCAGCTTGGTAGGTCTTGCTTTTTTTCTGCACTTATACTATAGCCTAGTGGTCACTAGTTCCTTTTAAATAAGCTCAGTAACCACCGAGAAGTAATCATTTCATTTAGGATCAAAGTCGGTAAGAGGACAGATTCCATCTTTGGGAGAAACAGGCACCCACATATTTATTTTCCGGCTTCAGACCCCTCTTCTGTCGCCTGCAAGTTCTCAAACACTGCTGCATGTGGCCTTTCACTTGAAATCCAACTCACCCGGGCCAGGGCATGTGATTTCTGCTACAGCAGCTAAAGTTTTCCTAAAGGACCTCATTGGTCTTTAGCTTTACATCTCTTACAGACATCCATTCCCCCATTTCCAGTCTGCAACCACTTTTTTTTTAACATAGGAGAAGAAAAATAAAAATCAGAACTAAGTGCTTATGTTTCTGTCACTACTAACACCATGTAAACTAGGCAGAAAACCCAAACCTTTCTTGTCCTTCTTGTTGTCCTCACCTAACCAAAGAAGTTCTTCTTGTTCTCTTTAACACTTCTAGAATGCCTGATCTTATTCGAGGGTTAACGTTCCCTGGCTGTATTCTCACTGGTCCATGTGACACTTTTTCCAGTCATTTTTGACTTGGCATCTTGTTTCCATCTTTGGTAAATGTCTTTTTCATGCTTGATCTCATTGGAAACATCCTGGCTCTGTTCTTCCTTTTTTCCTCTCTGGTTAGGCTGTAAGTGCTTATGATGGCTCTTGAACTATCCTCTCTCTTTCTTAAAAGAGTCTATACCCATAAATTTTTTTCTTTTGAGTGTTTTGAAGTTAATCTTCCAAAGCAAAAGGCAAACTCATCATTTTCCAGCATTCCGTGCCATTCCTTGACTAGTGCAAAGTAAGGGGGACAGAAGATCACTTTCTTGGGATTGTCTGGGGCCTGTCATTTTAGAATTCTCAGGGACAAACTCCTTACAGTATTAATGCAGAATTCTCCATGTTTCCTGAGGGTAAAGTTTTGCAAGTTCAAATTTAAAAATGGTCTATAACCCTATGGATTAAGCAAAGACAGAATATAAGTCAGTTTTGAGCTAAACATCGTACCAGAGACCTATTACTTTGCTTTATAAGATACTGAGTAAGGTCTTATTAACATGTAGTTCATCTGATGGTAGGTTTTTACCCAAGGTTCAATTCTGATCTGAAGACTGCAAGGGTGAGAGTGATTTTCATGAGTTTTGCTGAATTCTTTTATTTGTAAAGTTCTGGGAAAGAAGTGGAGTACTTCATTTTAGGATTTGACCCACAAAGTCAGGATAAAGTCCCCCTATATCTACATGTATCTCTTCCTAAACTGTAAGACTATGTTAGTTACCTAACTCTTTCCACATAACCTGGATTCACAGAATGTCACAACTGGATCGCAGAGATGCCCTATTTTATGCCGTGAACGGGCCCAGAGAAGTGAAGTACTCCACTTCCTTCCCTAACTTCAGGGCCCATTAGCCACTGAGCATGAGGATAACTCTTCATAGGTCTAACAGTATTTTAGTCCAATATAGATCATTTTATTTTTTTTAAATATATTTTGATTATGCCATTACAGTTGTTCTATTCCCCCCACCCTGCACACACCCTCCCCCACCGTTCACCCCCTTTAGTTTATGACCACGTGTCTCAAGTTCTTTAGATTCTATATTTCCCCTACTATTCTTGCCCTCCCCTATTTTCTACCTACCGTCTATGCTACTTATTTTCTGTACCTTCTACCCCCTTCTCCTTCTCCCACTCCCCTGTTGCTAACCCTCCATGTGATCTTCATTTCTATGGTTCTGCTCCTGATCTAGCTGTCCTTAGTTTGCTTGTTTTAGGTGTGTTAACATGTCTTTTTCATTTGGTTTTCTACCAGTTCAAATATGGAAATCTCTGCCTTTGCAATACATTTTCTTCTACGCGTCCAACACTCCCCAAAGGACATGTTAAAAGTAGACTCTTAAGTTCGTCCCCAAGACCACTAGACGACATTTCTAGAGGACTTCTTGCACTGTTATCCAGTCTCAGAATTCAAGAGCTCTAAGCTGGCAATGGTATCTACCTCGTGGCCCCTGACGACGCTTTCAGCAAACCTTTGGGGGAAGCAGCAGTAAACCTAACTCCAAAATGCAAATTCCTGAATGGATACGATGATACTGCATCGTCACAGCTCCTTGGCATACAATAAGGCGTGAAGGAAATGCAGCCAAGAATAGCTGCCAGAAATATTAACAGGAGACTGCTGGTTGTTTACTTAATGCACTTTATATCCGGCTAGAAGCTGGAAACGACTGAAAAGTGGGGTTCAGGTGCAAGAGAGGCCGCATCAAGCCAACCCGGGTGAGGAGGGGCCAGAGCAGGCTGGCAGTGCGCACGCGCGAAGCCGGCCTTGTTATCAGGCCTCGGCAATTAAAGACCCCCCGTGCGTGCGTGCGTGCGTGTGTGCGTGCGCGCGCCCGCCGGCCGGCCACGCCGTGAGGGGCGCGGGGGGAGGGGCGGTGCTCCGCCCCGGTCTTACCTGCCCGCGTTCTCTGCTTCCATTCCGTGCTGCCGCTCGCGTGAACGGCTACTCCAGCCAGGCAAGCGAGCGAAGTCGCTGTAGTATCCTGGCGTTTGTACTGCGGTTCGACAATAAGGAGAGACTTGGACACGATTGGCGGCAGAACTGGGACAGCAGCTACCGCTGTAGCTCCTCCCCCAAGCTTCTGGTTCTCCCTCCCCCCCAGCGCAAACCCCACTTTTGCGGGGCGCTTCCGTTTGTTCGGCGCCAAGTCCCACGACTGTGGGCGTCACGTGTCAAAGGACAGCCCAATCGAGCGTCCGCCTGCCGCTTGGCCTTCCGGGAAGGGTGGAGGACAAAAAGGTGGGAGGGTGAGCGCTCCGTTGACGTACGTAAGTTCTTGTCGTCCCCCCCCCCCCCGCCATTAGGACTCTTAGGGTGGGCGGGTGGTGGAGGTGAGTGGGTGATGATGTCCTCTGGGGACGCTGTGTAGGTGGGGTGGTTGTACTTGTCGATCAGGATTACCCAGGCCTTTCCACCCAAAATTTTATCCTGGTTAAAAACTATTTTGCATTAATTATCAAGCGTGTTGTGGGAGAAAGGAGTCCATGGAATCAGAAAACCCGGGAGTCCAGGCCACTGTACCACCTTGGGCCTCAGGTTCCTACTATATAAATTGAGGTGATTGTGAAACTGCTTTGTAAAACTTTATATAAACTATTGTCTGCTTTACCTTGGGTGTGTAAAAATATCAGTTTGAAGTCTGTGACAGTAGATGCCATTCAGGCATCTTTATAACCTTACAGACCAACCCTATTTTTTTCTCGGTGGCTCTTACAGCTCTTTTTTGCCTCAGTAGTTCTCAAGTTGTCATTGGTGCTGTACAAGGATTTCATTAAATAACTTAATGGACATGGCTGTTTCTTTTTCTCTAGTTTGCATGATGAAAAACATGGCTGCTGTATTAGCTTTCCCTAGTTAAGCTGTGGTAACAGCTAACTCCAAAATCTCAGTGGGTTACAGCAACAGGTTTATTTCTCTCTAATGTAACATGTGGGCTGGGAGGTGGCTGTGTCTCTGTGCTTTATGTGGCTTCTTCATTCTGGGATCCAAGAAAGGGCTTTCATGAGTAATTGCAGAATGATTAGTTTGTATTATGTAAATTATTTAAATAACACTTTTAGTATTTTAGAACTTTTCAGAACCTTTACAAATACTGTGTCCCTTAGTAGGTACTACTCAACCTGACTCATGGTAGGTATATGGAAACCCTGGCACTTTTTCTTTTTTTCGTGCAAGTGCTGAACTTAAACTTTGATTGCAACATTCATTTCAAAGAGGCATCCACTTTCATAGACTGGCTATCTAGCACAAACACGTTGCCAGACACACACACATTAACACACACATACCGTCTAGAATGAATACATTACCAGACAGGCAGATACACAAGCATACACACACACACACGCACACACACGCACACACACTCTAGCTTAAAGAGCCATTGAAGAGCCAGGCCACTTCCCAGAACTCCTTTACTTTAGGAATCTTGGTTGATTTCAATAAATGATTATTGGGCTACTTGTTTTTTTCTCCTGCTCCTATACTTTAAATTTCTTATGTTTTAAATTCACTGATGAAGAGTGAACTCTGAAACCCTAGGCACCCGTACCTGACCCCAATAAAAGCAGAACTCCAGGTCGGTGCACATGGGTGCACTCCCTCACTGTCTAGCTGCAGCTTCGCTGTGGGGCTGCAGTTGTGCTGTGTAATTTGAGGTCTTATAAATAATAAACCTGTATCTTTTCAAAGTTTCCTGATGGCTATTGCTGAAGGGTGTCTTGCAGCCATAATAAGAGCCATAAGGGCTGGTTCAGTCACATCACTGGGTGGTGATAGCCTGAGACCAGTACAAAACAGTAGGTATCCATTGAGTTATTTGTTGAATTAATGAATGAACAGCAGTGCGTCCATCCTCTTTTTCTGTGGTTTCGAACCACCTAGGATCACAGTCTAGAAAAGTTTTAGAGCAGGTGCCTTCTGATTGATTTCAGAGCGGTAATTCTGTGACGGAAAGTATGTGTAAGAGCTGCAAACTTTTCTCAGGAGGTTTTCACTCAGAAGAGTTGTCCTTGGGCAGCCGGCATCTCCCTCACCGTGGGGCTGTGCCTTCTGGGTCTGCCCACTCCATTCATAACCTCAGCAGACTAGGGGCCTCTGCTTAGTTCTGTCTTATGAAGTGGTTACTAGAAGATTGTTGGGGAGCAGGACATTGAACTTGGGAATGATGAAGCAATCAACAAAGTGCCTCCTGTTCCATCACGTCTCACTCACCACCCTGACTCTACCTGGAAGACAGACTTGTTCTGCTGTGAGCTTGATCGGGGAGGCCTAGGAGAAATCTCCTGTCTTTGCCAAATATGTCTCTCCCTCCAAGAGACCTTGTATGATGGGAAAACGAAAGAAGGTGAAGTCACTTCAACTTCTTTCCCTTTCCCTCCCAGTCTCGCCGTTCCTTTCAGGAACCTACTAAGCTTGCTTACAGTGGTTGCCCAGGGAAGAAAGCGATGTGGAGGGATTAGAGAGGCACAAAGAAACTTTGAGTGTGATAGATATGTTCATTATTTTGACTTTAAGAATGGTTACACGTGTCAAACTAATTGAGTTTTATGCTTTAAATATGTGATTTATTTTATGTCAAAGATACCTTCCTGTTTAAAAAGTGAATATATCATGATTCATCTTATACACACAACCCCAATCCTTTGGAATTGTCTTGCATTAACCTTTTCTTAACACAAATCAATCCATGACCAAAGCACAACCTAAAAGTGCGTAGTTACATATTGTAGATTTCAGGTTTCCTCTTTTCCAGTAGCATCTTGGCACAAAGGTATATAGCTGTCTCGGTGTAGTTGTTTCAGGTGTGAAAGGACATCCGGCACAAGGACAGAGTGCTTTTAACTTCACTCACTGGGTGACCTCACCTAAGCACTCCTCAGCGTGCCAGGCTCCACCCGCTTGTTACAGGCAGTTAACGCCAGCAATTTGTGCATGTGAAGGGACAGATGATGCTCTAAGGCAGCCAGAGCCCAGCCCGAGCCTAGACTTCTGCCAGGGAAATCCTACTATGGGGGAATGATGAGGGAGACAAACACCTGGGCTGGGAAAGGCCTGGGAATCAGTTTAAAAAAAAATTCAGGTCCTGGCCCCAAGTCCCACTTCTGCCCAGTTCACAAGCCCACGCTGCAGTGCCCCCGCTTTTCTCTCTGGCAGGGCCCCAGTCACTGCACGTTCTGTCTGGTCTGATGGCCAGCTTCCCAGGCTCCTGAACACACTTCTGGCCGCTCTCCGACCTACTGCTGAGTGTGAGTACCCTCCGAGGTACAGCAGCCCCTGGACCTCGGCCCCTGGGCGTGTGCCTAGGGCCCGTGGGAGTGCAGCCTGCAGCTCTGAGTTTGAAGGGGCACGGGGAAACAAGGCGGTGGGCCTTCCGCTGGCTCCTGCAGAGCTGTCTTTAAATTCCGAAGGCCCAGTCTCCAACACTAAGGCCGGTCTCAGGCCAGGAGGGGGTTTGGGCTCTCAATGCCCTCATTTTGTACACGAGGACTTGGGGCACAGATGTGGAGGGAGCGATGGTGTTCTGACCCCACCCCACATGCTGAGAGACTTGTTTACCACTTGGTTTAGACGTGAGTTGGAAACCTACTGACACTGCCCACTTTCCCTCCCTGCCCAGACCGCCGACCATGCCTGCGGGAGTGCCCTGGACCAGCTACGCAAAGATGATGGCAGCCAGCCTCCTGTCCATGTTCGCAGGGGCTGAAGTGGTGCATAGGTACTACCGGCCGGACCTGGTGAGTGCAGGAGGGTCCTGGTTCCTGGGTCTGGGACCGCTCCATTCTCTCTGAAGCAGCAAAAATGATCTTCCAGTCAGGAGCACATCTGCTTTGGGCCTGAAAACCTTATGATGGCATCCAGTTGCATGTACAGCAATGCCATGTCCTCATGGCCTGCCTGCTCGAACACAGTCTTCCCCAGAAATCATACACAGCCTTAACGTCTTACACAGTCTGGCACCCGCCTGCCAGGGCCCTAACCTTACATCATTTCCCCCTCGTTCCCTCTGTTGCAGCCACACTAGCTTCCTTGCTGTTTCTCAAGTTCATCAAGCCTATTTCTACCTCAAGGCCATGCTATATTGCTTCTTGGAGTGCTTTTCTCCCGGATCTTGCCTTGGTTTCCTTCACAACTTCAGGTCTCTGCTCCAGAGCTCCTCCAGCAGCGAGGGCCCTTTGGACAGCTTCAGAGGAATTGCTCTCTGCCACTCTGTCTCCATCCTTTGTCCCCACTGAGCGCAGTGCACAATGTACAATTACTTTATTCCTTTGTCTCTGTTTGCTGCTTGTTTCCTCCACTAGAACGTAAGGTCCACAAAAGCACTGTGCTTCAATAAGACGCCACTTTCTAACCACTATGATGGCTACTAATTAAAAAAAAAAAACAGCTAATGACAAGGTTTGGTGAGGCGTGGAGGAATCCGAACCCTCGTACAGGGCCGTGAGGAATGTCGAAGGGGGCAGCCGCTGTGGCCAACAGCCTGGTGGTTCCTCAGGGAAACCTGGAGTCGTATGTCCCAGCCATTCTGCTTCCCGGTTTATGCCCGAGAGAAATGCAAACTTATGTCCACACAAAAACTTGCACGTGAATATTCATGAAAGTCATCCCATAGTTTGCCGTGTGTAATGTGCACCCCTGTTTCTGGCCCAGACTTTCAGGAAAAAAACTTTTGTTTTAATTTTTAATTTAATTTTTTACTTACTTATATTTAGATATTTGTTTTTTTTTCTATTTTAAAGTAAGTTTAGCATTTACTTTTTAACATATTATGGTACAAGAAATTTTATGTAACATAATTACAAAACACAAAAACAGATACAAGAGACAAGAAATTTTATGTACCGATAACTACCATGTATAACGTGCATCCTTATTTTCCCTAAAAAATTTGGGCAAAAAATGTGCATTGTACATGGCAAAATATGGCGAAAAAAGTGGACACAATCCAAGTTGTCAGCCGATCAGTCGGCATATACAAATATGGTACCCCCACATATAATGGAATATTACTTGTTCCTCAGAGGAAGTGAAGCTGTTACCAAAATAAAAGTGACCTTCTCAGGCCTTTCCTGACCATCTTTCCTGAATGCAGTTTTACATGTTTTTGCTTACTGCTTTATGCCTGGTGGAGAGGCAGTAAATAGCACAGGAATACATTTCCACATATGGAAAGCTTTAGTCAGATTTTTGATCTGTTAGTTGGTAGTAATGCAAACTCTCCCTCTGTGAGTTCTGTAGAACTTAAGGCATATATAAGCTGGATGGTAGAGTCATAAATATAGGGCTAGAGAGGAACTTGGTCAGCCATGGGTTCTTATAATAGACATTTATCATTGAGTAGCAAGGGACTTTCTGTTCTTTTTAACTTCTTATTTGCTTTGAAGTTTCTCAGGCCACATTTAATTACGGTCTGAGAAAGCACTGGCATCTTTGCCTTGTTTTGTGTTTAATAGACAATACCTGAAATTCCACCAAAGCCTGGAGAACTCAAAACGGAGCTTTTGGGACTGAAAGAGAGAGAACACGAACTTCAAACTTCTCAACAGCAGAAACCTCAAAATGCAACTATGCCAAGAACTCTGTGAATAAGAAGCCTTAAATATATATTTTTGCAATTTATGGAGTCAGACTACTTGTCCTCACGTACCCAGTACAATGCTAACTGCAGGAAGAGGTGTGCGGTAGATAGTAACTGATGCACTGAGATTTATTAACGATTTCACCAATGTCCCTTGAAAACTGCCAAAGCTCATATCATCAGCTTCTTAATGTGGTTTGATAGATACTTAGTTGTGACCGCCATGGGAGGTAGAGTATTTGCAATGATTCTTGCTCTTACAATTCTTCCTTTTTTTTTTTTTGACATAGCGCTCTCATGTTTTTTTGCAGTGTTAGCCAAGGTACAAAAGCAACCCCAAACCCCCATCAGCAGATAAGTGGGTGAGAAAGATGTACATGTATTCAATGAGTTTGTCCAGCCATGAGAAAGGGGGATATCCTGCCATTCGCTGCAACATGGATAGGCCCTGAGCACACTATACTACATGAGATGAACCAAACAAAAAGAAAAGTATTGTTACAATATCACCTAAAAATGTCAAACCTGTGAAAATCAAAACAGCGGAGAGTAAAATGGTGGTATCAGGGCAGGGGCCTGGGGGATCAGAGTGACGGTGTTCAAGGGTACAACTTGTAACAAGTAGTAAGAAAGCCATAGGACTAGTGCACAGTGTGATGACACTAGCCCTGCAGTTCCAGCCACGTGCCGCAAGAGTTTTTAAAACATGCGACACCTGACTACTTTTAGTCAGGGGCACTGACCTCTTTTCCCTTAGATTAGCAAATAAAAAGAATGACAGTCCACATACCAATAGCCATCCCATCTGGTATGAATGAATCAAAACTATACTCACCTTTTTTTGGTCAGACTGGCAAAAAATACGTTTTTTGGTGTGCTGCAGAATTTTAACACGTAGTTTATATGTGCCATGAGATGAAAAAGGTTGAAAGTTGCTGATCTAGACAGTAATATCGTATTTTAATTAGGTAATGTGATATTGGTACAACAGCAACCGTCTACAATATATAAATGTATCAAAGTAATGCAGTGAACACCTGAAGCTTATATAACATAACATGTCAGATTTATTTAATAAAAAATCCAGACCGCTAATGGTCACACTGCTATATGATTTTGGTCAGTGTTGATTTTTGACTGTTAGCTCCTACAGAAAGTGGTCACTACAGAGACCCCAGGTACAGGTCTCTTGTTACAAGGCTTAAGAGGAAATATTAGTTAGTTCCATAAGAGAATCTCTCTCTCTATCTTTAGACAAGATTAACCCTGTGTTCCTGGACCTGAACTTGGAAAAGACCCTGATGAGTGAGCTCCGGAAACATGCCCTCATGCCCCACATGTTCTAAAAATCGACTAACTGCTCACCACCACATCGAGTCTTTTATGAAATCAGTTCAAAATTAAATTACAACAGTCCAAACACACCTTCACACAGCCATGTGGTATGTGATTCAGTAGTACACATAGACTTCAATAAGAATTCTCTTGAAACTGAAATATTTATTCATATAATTGTACAGCTTTATAAAGAAAGAGGCAAATGACTAGAGCCAGACATTCTTAAGTATCTTAGGATTTACCAATGTTAATATCTACTGAATAGGGCAAGGTGAAGTGGGCAGCTAAACTGTCTCTTAGTTTCCCTTTCCTTCCTTAGTAGCTGAAACAATGGGTATCTTAATATTAAACAAAGTTATGTTGAGTCAGTAAAGGCTGATTGTTTCACAGATGACAAATGAAGCCATTCATGTCTGTCCTGCTTGTAAATACACAAAGATCACCATATTTACATTTTAATTCACTAGCATTTTAGGGAACATATTTCACTAAAAATAAAAAGCAGTTCTTTATTCAAAAAGTTAATAAACATCTAGAAGAAAACACAAATAGGCGTTCTGGTGATGAAGCAGTGTTATAAAGCCATAGATGCCCTTCTGGCTGAACATAACAAAACATTTAAAAATTATGAGCAGATAGGTGTCAAATACACTGTTAAATGATCCTAACAGAAAGTTTCACTCTATTTGGAGCGCTTCTGGGTTGGACACGTGGAGATGCTGGGAGGGCCGCTGCACACCCTCTCCCCTGACTGCCCTGTGTCTCTGCCGGCTGGCTGTTCCTGTGTTCAGTTGTCAACTGAAGGACATCCACACCTGCCTCTCTCCTCCCTTGCACAGCCCTTCCCATGATCATTAAGCCGCCGGGACAATTAGGTTCTGGTCAACGTCAGTCTTGGAAACAAAGCCTCAGGTCTCAACGACAGGACTATTTTTCTTTTGTGTTTTTTTGCAACTTCCCCCGGTCTCCAGAAATACCAGATACACTTATTTCTTGTTCAGTGATTCTAATCTGACACCACGTAGATAGAATACCAGCAATTTCCTTTATTTTTTTCAAATCATCACCCAAGGATACATTAGAGAGAGGAAGAGAGAGGGAAAGAAAGAGAAACATCCATCAGTTGCCTCATACACACCCTGACCAGGGATCGAACCTGCAGTTTAGGTGTGGGACCTGACTTGGAATTGAACCTGAAACCTGGTGGTATGCAGGATCATGCACCAACCGAGCTACCTGACCAACGCCATGGCATTTTTCTTAATTCAGGCAAAACCAATTGTGGGTTTAGAAGTGGTCTGTCTCTTTCAAATGACTGTAATGCTCCGTGGTTAACAATGAATCAATGGCATTTTTAGCCATTCCTTTCTTTACAAATCCCTGATTGATATCCCTTATTAAGGGCAATGCAGCAGCCAGATGCAGAGATTTGTAGGTCAAGGTCTTGAACAAAGAGCTGTTGCCTCGGAACTTGGGGCCCTGGCATGCTGGCATATGGAAGCATTCCGATTCTCCTCTTGTGAGTCTCGATTGTTTCTCCATATGAGCTTGACTATGACAGCAAATGGGAATTATAGACTAACTATAATAAAAATGAAGTCGACAAAGAGTGGTACTAAGTTAATTTTTCTTTAAATGTTAGAAAGTACTATTGGAGAGATCCAAGATGGATTTCCAGTGGAGTAAGTGGAAGCTACGCTCACCTCCTCCTGGTTCCAAACTGGAGTTACAACTAAAACGTAGAACAATCAACCAGAATAACCAACTGAACAGTCTGAACAGGAGTCTTATAACCAAGGATTTATAAAGACATCAAGACTGGTAGGAAGGGCTGGAATGTGAGAAGGGCTGATCCTGCTCCCATGGGCTGTGGCTGAGACCCCAGAGGGGTATCTCAGCTGTGAATTCTGCCCCGAGGAGCATGGAGTCTCAGTTCCATGCCAGGCTCCCTAGCCCAGAGTACCAGCATCTTATTCAATAGGCAAGAACTAAAAGCATTTTCCTTAAGATCAGGAACAAGATAGGGAGGTCCACTTTCACAGGAGGACCTAGCCAGAGCAACAAGACAGAAGAAATAAAAGGTATTTTAATAGGAAAAGAATAAGTAAAACTATCATCATTTGTAGATGACATGATACTATATAGAGAGAACCTTAAAGATTACACCAAAAAAAACCTACTAGAACTGATAAGTGAATTCAGTAAAGTAACAACATAGAAAATATCCAGAAATTGGTTGCTTTTTTATACAACAATAATGAACTATCAGAAAGGGAAACTGAAAAAATAATCCTATTGCCCTGCCTGGTATGGTTCAGTGGGTTGGGCATCATCCTGCAAACCAAAAGTTCACTGGTTTGATTCCCGGTCAGGGCATATGCCTGAGATGTGGGCCATGTACCCTACTGAGGGTGTGCAAGAGGCAATTGATCAATGTTTCTCTTGCACATTGGTGTTTCTTTTCCTCTGTCTGCCTCTCTTCCCCTCTATCAAGAAAGAGAGAAATAGAGAAAGGAGGGAAGAAAGAAAATACTCCCATTTACAGTTGCATCAAAAAATAAAATACCTAGGAATAAATTAAACCAAAAATGTAAAAGACTTGTACTCATAAAAGACACTGGAAGAAGAAATTGAAGAAGATACAAATAAGTAGAAGGATATACTCTGTTCATGGATAAGTAGAATTAACATCGTTAAAATGCTTGTACTACCCAAAGCAATCTACAGCTTCCAACACAATTCCTGTCAAGATATCAATGGTACATTTCACAGAACTAGAATAAATACTGCAAATATTTATATGGTACTGCAAAAGACCCTGAATAGCAACAACAATCTTGAGAAAGAAGAACAAAGTTGGAGGAATTGTGCTACCTGATAAACTATACTACAAGGCTATAGTCATGAAAACAGCATGGTACTGGCATAAAAAATAGACACCTAGAACAATGGATCAGAATAGAAAGCCCATGAGCAAACCCATGCCTTTGTGGTCAATTAATATTCAAAAGGAGGCAAGAACATACATTGGGGTAAAAACTGTCTCTTCAATATATGGTGTTCAGAAAATTGGACAGATAAATGCAAAAAATGGAACTAGACCAACTTACACAAGAATAAAGTCGAAAAGGATTAAAGACCTAAATGTAAGTCATGAAGCCATAGAAATTCTAGAAGAAAACATAGGCAGTAAGATTTCAGCCACTTCTTGTAGCAATATAGCAATACTTTATTCTGATCTATCTCCTTGGGCAAGGGAAACAAAACATAAACAAATGGGACTACATCAAAAGTTTTTTTTGTGCAGCAAAGGAAACCATCAACAAAATGAAAAAAACAGCCCATGGAATGAAAAGAACATATTTGCCAATGATAAAGGTTAATATCCTTTTCATCTGATAAAGGCTAACATCCAGATCTTATAAAGAACTTAATACAACTCAACAATCCAATTAAAAATTTGGCAAAGGACGTCCTTTTTCAAAGAGTACATACAGATGGCCAATAGACATGAAAAGATGCTCAATGTCACTAATCAGAGAAATGCAAATTAAAACCACAGTGAGATATCACCTCACACCTGTCAGAATGGCTGTTGTTAATAAATCAACAAACGACAAGTGTTGATGAGGGTGTGGAGAAAAGGGAACTCTTGTGCACTGTTGGCTGGAATGCAGTATGGTGCAGCCACTGTGGAAAGCAG